ATTGTTACATTTCACACATTTTCAGTGGTCAAAACCCAAATGTGGGCCACTTTGCATACAGACAGATGAGCCTTTTTCTTTAAAAGAGGAATGTCCAAAGAACAAAAAATGTTGAAACTTGACATGTATATTGTTTCCCTCTGTAAAAACAATTGCATCTAACTTTACTGTCTGAGTGCCAAAAATGTTCTTTTTCTATAGTTTGTGTGCTTGTAACTTGTAAAGATATCTTAATATTCTTTTAGATTCTGACTCTTAAGCAACTTCATTTTTAAGGCCATATATGGTTCAATCCCAGAGAAATGGGCACCTTAGTGTTGCTCCATGCAAGTAGTTGAATCCATTTTCAGTGGTCGAGCACTGTAGGTCACTTTGTATACAGCTGATATGTATTTAACAGGGAATGTCTGAAGAACAAATGTTGAAACTAGAAACCTGTATGTATTTATTCACATAAAAGCAATACGATCTGTATCTTGATCTTTGAGAGTCATTGTTATTAATAAGGAAACGGCCATTTAGCTGGTGCAATAACTTCATTTCACTTTAGAATTTCAGAAAAAGTACATCTATTCAAAATCTTACATTTTAATTATTTACGTTTTATTTAAACTGTTCACATATTCCATCATTCATCTGTTGTAAATGCTAAAATAAATCACAGACATCAGTAACCCATATTATGTATCATAATATTTATTGTTGGGCAAAATCTTTAAGTAAGACTGTAGTGAACATCTGTAATATTGTAAACCTCGAAAGGTTTATTAGCTTTATTAGTTTTACAGACGCTGGTCTAAATGATGACCATGTTATTGCAGAGGTCCGAATGGCAGCATTTAACTTTCATGGCGGTGTTACTCTGAAGAATAAGACACTCTGTCATACTGCTGCATCTCCGAAAGCCCATGACTAGAAGAAACAGAGAAATCAAAACATATTTGACATTTATGCATGTCATGATTTTATCTAATCACAAATAGAGCATTTACAATGTAAAGAATCACATTACAGCTGCTTCAGTTTATTAGCGTCCATGTCAGTGTTGTTTTAGCATCACTGAGATAAAATTATAGTTTTTATTAATAGTTTGAATTGGTTTTTATTTTTTATATTTGTATGTTTCAATTTTTGTGGTGATTTTTGAATTAAATGTGATTGTGAATTAAATGTGAAATTTTGAGGTTAACATTTTCGAATAAAGTTATGCGTTTGTATTTTTCTACAGTGGGAAGCTGACAGGAAGGTTAAACTCACAGGGAGGGAAGTTGAATCTGGCCGCGATACAAGCATCTTTTCCAAAGCCACAGGTCTCTTGAGTTGGTGTGCAGCGTGTTCCACCCTGAGGAACGCATTGGTTGCACTTCAGTGCAGATCCTGCAACACACAGTGCATGCATCATCACCAAATCAGAGTTTGCACAATCAGAGTCATATATCACATACATATATTAACTAGGTTGCCAAGGAAACATTTCTGAATTTTCATTTAGTTTAACTTGATGTACAGAAATAACTGGAATAAAAATGTATAGACTTTACAAATTACAAACTAATAAAAATGACAAAACACACAACAGATTTATTAAACATTAAATAAAATTCAAATGAAAACAGAAGAAAATACATAATTATATTAAAATAACTATAATAGTCTCTCAATGTTACTAAAATAACACTTTGAATCATGTTAATGTGTAACCTTTTAAAGTAGCATCTCTAAACTCACCGTAGTTCAACGCCAGAACAAGAACAAGGACCACCAGCAATGTCTTCATTATTCTATTGATTAGTGCTGAAAATATTAATAATAATTAATAATCATCAATAAGAATGGGAGAAGGCAGAACAATTAATGTAATTTGTAAACAAGCTAATCTGTCAATAATTAGTGCATGTCTGTTACTTCACGAAGCGATCAAGCTTAAATTTTCACCAGGCAAATGATAAAATCGGCAATAAATCCCAGAAAGAAAAAAACTAAGTCAAACTGTAATTATTAAAAAATGTAGACCTTAAAACTGTGCAGTTTAGTGTTGAACTGATCTATAAGGCTAATAAAAGTAGAATATCAAGTAGCATGGATATGTATTGTTTTAATAACTTACCTCACAAGTAATGTAGGATTGAGCGTATTATAAGTTCATAAGCACTTGTGTGTGTATCTTATATACTTGTCATGTACTCAGGAGTGAATCATTTCCAGTAATCCAGGATTTCCCAAAGTGTTTGAAACCTGTTCATTGTGTTAAAATGAGGCCACTGTGTTTGGTCATTGTTTACTCATGCATTCGCTTCAGATCATCAGTACTGATC